CAGCCACTGATTAGCTGATTGAATTGGGCATGAACTCCACCTTACTTTTTTTTCATAATTTTATTTATTTATTTTCTTCTTATATTTATTTATTGAATCACTGTGAGAAAAGTTACAAAGATTTCCGGTTTAAGTCTCGGTCATACAATGATCAAACATCTTTCCCTTCACCAGTACTCATTTTTCACCACCAAGAATCCCAATATACCCACCTCCGATCCTTCCCGATGCCTGTGAGGCAGATGATTTCTACTTAACTTTTCTCTACATTGATTGCATTCATTATTTCGACAAAAGATGCACCATTATTGTTTAGAATTCCTCCCCTCCAACAATCAGAATTGCTGAAAAGGCATTGTGAAATACTTTGTTTTCTATAGCTGGTTATGAGAATCATGTAATGTCATGCAGCCACAATAGCGGCCACATAATTTTGGATTTCTGCAAAGAGCCAGATAATTACGAGATTGGTTTCTGTTTATCTGGTGTTATGGCTGTGCCGGAGAGCCACTGGTGGGGGGCAACTCGTGACCTCGATAGGGCATTAAGGACGAGCCAGTACCGCCCCCCTTCCCATGAGACTGCAGTTGCCCCGTCACCGCAGGCTCATACCTGGCTTTCCAATAAGCTCTGAGGAGGCAGCCACCTTGCTGCTGCTGGGGGCGGGGGGGGGGGGGGGGGAGGCGGAAGGGAGCAACACCCTTTCCCTCCCGGGGAGGCATGTCGCTGTAATTTAACACATGGTCCATTCACTTTTCTGCCTCAAGCTGCCGGGCTCTGGATTAAGTCTTTTTGCCTCTGGAGCCTTGGCCGTGCCAGAGAGCCACTGTGGGAGGCAACTCATGACCTCAGTAGGGCATGAAGGATGAGCTGGTACTGCCCTCCTTCACATGAGACTGTAGTTGCCCCTTCACCGCTGGCTCATACCTGGCTTTCCAGTGAGCTCTGATGCGGCAGCCACCCTTCATACAGTCCAGATGCATTTCTGCCCAAAGCCGCTGGGCTTCGAGACCTGCCCTCAGTCTCTGGGATCATGGCCGTTAATCATCTTGATCAGGAGCCAGAGAGGCCATTTATAGGCGGCGACTCAGAGCCTCTCTGGGATGGGGAGGAAAGGGCCAGTTCCACCCCCATCTGGTGAGTCCCCGTGTGTCTCATCACTGCAGGCCCAAACCTGACTGTCCAGTGGCCTCTGGAGGATGGCAGTCACCACGCTGCCAGGGGGAACAGACCAAGGCATGAAACCTATTCCCACCTGGAGTGCCTAGCACCAGTAACCTACTGCAGGAACAGGACGCATTTCTGCCAAAAGCTTTGGGTTCCGAGATTTGTTTCTGAGTCTCTGGGATCATGGCCATTAAGCAGTTCAATCAGGAACCAGAGAAGCCATGCCTCCAATTATATAGCTGAGCCAGAGGTGGTTTGAGGGTGGTCTCCCACATACCTAACTTTTGGCCATTTACTTTCTTGGTAAACTTTGCCCCAAGTTTTTGGGGTCTGGCCAGAGGTACAGCAGCAATTTTGGGATATCTGAAAGTCTGACCATGCCATCAGGCTGCTGATTCACTTGCCTCACAGGTACAGATTCACCTGCTGGCGGCACCATACCCCCAAAAGTTTTCAACTATTAAAACTAAAGTATATTAAATTAAATTTTATTTTCCACGTGGGTCTCATGGTAGCAATCATGTCTCACCTGTTGTTAATAAAACTTTTAGAGCAATTCTGTGTTATTTTGGAGTTTCCATGAAATAGGTAAGGACTACATCTGTAATTTTCCCCATACACTTTATATAAACACTGTTGTTTACAAAATTGTTCATGATTATTTGTTACAGTCAATCATTATTCCAACACCAATACCACCACCATTACACCTTCCCTCCACCATTGTCTCCAGTTTCCCCAACCACCCCTTAAGCCTGTCCCCAGAGTAAACCCTCAATAATTTAATCTAAGAGCTTCTTATGGTGAACTAAGTCACATATATGTGACCTCTTTTAAATTAAATAAAGCATTCATTTTAGCTCAATCACACAAATTTTGATATGTTTTTGTTATTAGTCATTAAAATACGCATATAAATATTTATTACTCTGATGATTTCTTTTTTGACTCATAAGTTACTTAGAAAGTAAAATCACTTAGAAAGTGGTTTTTAATCTTCAAATATTTGGGGGCTAGTCTCTAGAAATACTCTATTGGTTTCAATATTTTTTACAATGGAAATACACTGGTTTTTACAAAATTTATTGAAATTTCTGTTTTGGCCCACAATATTGTATCTTTTGATAAATATTCTAAGTATATTGACACTAATATTATATTGTTGAATTCATACTTTTATGAATGTCAAAAAGTCAAACTGAATGTCGCTATTAAAGTTCTCTATTTCCTGTATGGTTGATCTGCCCTTTCTATTTCTCTTCTGTGGGATTCTAGTTACTTAATTTTAGAATGTTTGATGTTGCTCCAGAACTCTCGGGTCATCTACTTTTCACTCTTTTGAACTTTTTACTTTATGTTTAAGAATTTCTGTTGACCAAGCTTCAAGTTCACTAGCTCTTTCTCTTCCCATCACCATCTGTTTGACTTGCTTAAGGAAATCTTCATTTGTATCATCTTATTTATCCTTCTCTCCCTTCTATTCAGTTTCAATATTCTTTCTAATGCTCCAAGACCTTTAAAGATATAAATAATAATTATTACAAAGCTCCTGTTCCATACCAAAGCTTTGTTCATGAATTGTTCTCTGGCCATAAAAATAACACTTTTACTTGTGTCTCACAACATTTTGTGGAATCTGTCCTTGTGCTTGAAAGCAGATAGCAGTTGAGGCAAGGGATGTATCTCTTTACTTCTTACATGATTTTAACCTAGACCCTCTCCTTCTGTACTTTGCCAAATAAAAATTGTTTTTATACTCTCAGAGAGCCCGGCAAGCTACCTAGAGTATCTCCTCTGCATGGCAAAGCCTGGCAAGCTCCCTGTGATGTATTCGATATGCCAAACACAGTAACAACAAGTCTCATGATGGAGACGTTACTGGGCCCTCTCGAGCAAATCGATGAACAACAGGAGGACAGTGATACTCCCATATATCCTTACCTCGTTCTTTATACCTCCAGTTTTATTGAGGCATTGTGACTTATTAGTACTGTGAACGATAGACTTTCACGCATAGAGCATTCAAACACCACCACCCACCACCAGAGTGTCCACTTCCCTTCACCATCCATCATTTTGGGCTCTTGGGCTCCCCTCTCAGCTCCCTAAATACCCCCACCACTCCTAGGTAAACTCAGTTTTATAGATCAATCCTCAGGTTCAGTGGCCTTTGATGGTTTGTTGATCCCTTACAATGTTTCCTTGTATCCCACCGTGTGAAAGAGATCATTCTGTATCTGTCTCTCTCCTGCTGACTGCACTCAGCCCTCCACTTACATCCACATAGTGCCAAATTGTGTGATTTCATCTTTTCTTAAAGCTTGAAAAGATTTGCTACCTTGTATTTATTACCTTGGGTATTAGTGCCTTGTGTGAATTTCTTACACTGTTCTTAACTCTTTGCAACCAAGTTTACCCAGTGTATGACTCTTCAGAACCCTGAGCCATTCAAGAAAGAGAATGATTTGTGTTTTCTATTTTTGGGCATTGTTAGAGACAAGGTGGGATCATTTTGCTTTTTTTCATCCTTAGCAGAAATAGACTTTTTAATTCAATCTTTAATGTATTCTAATTTTATTTTGATCTTTAACAAACCTCTTTTAGAACTCTGCAGGTCCTTATTCAATATTTATAACACCTTATTAACTTATTTTATCTCTTTGTTGGCTGAGATAACTAAAAGCGGAAATAAGGGACAGGTGGACACAGCCAACCTTTGATGCTGTAAATGGAAGCAATGGGCAAATGGTCAGTTTGCATGGGGCAGACACTGGGAGAAGTGTCTTTCAATCTCATGTGTTCAGATGCAGAGTTTGAAGTTTCCTACCTTCCCAGCATGATGCCCAAACCTCTCCAGTCTAGGTTCTTGAACCATCAGCCACAGCTTTTGATTTGATTCACAATCCGAGCTTTCCACAGGAAGATGGGATTGGTTAGCACCCAAGGCTTTCTCCCCACCCTTGCTGGAAATCCTACCTATTTCAGAGAAGATAGAAGTCTTATCAACCTCCTAAGGTTTGCATCAATACCTCCTATGCAGACCCACTGTCGCCAGGAAGGTGGTGTGGAGAAACTATTATGACAGTTTCATGAAAATCACCACCTTCCCAAAAAACTCCTGGGACCTTGCTCTTACATTTTCCCCCCCAAAAAGAACTTTCAAAATATTTTTCTATATATCTCCCCTTTGAATCATGTGTATCAACAGGATAACACATTTACACCATTGTCTTTTTTGATAGAAGTAATTGGAAGCAGTGATGTTAATGCATTCTAGCTGAGTGCAATGGTTTGACTTATTTATTTTAATATCATGAATAATGTTGATGAGCATTGTGTTTCTAGCCTGGAATAAAGAGGTTACTTGTAAAGAAGTCTAGCATCCCCTGAGTGCATGCAGTGAGCTGTCCAAATGCCATGTCTCTGGAGCATTCTCTGTTTACATTCATGTGAAATTCACGAGAACACAAGAAATTTACTAGCCCAAGTGGTATCTACTTCTATAATTATTCTCCTGTGATTTCTTTGAGTAATTTATCAGCTTCTTCACATACAAAAAATCTGTCTTTTTATGTAGAAACTATCTGGAAGATTTTTTTTATTCCTTATTTCAGAGTTTGAAATCTTGCTATTTTCCATGAACGTGTTTTTCTCCAAATCAGAATTTTCATGTAAAAAGAACAACAGCAGCAAAAGCCAGGGTCTTAGTGTAGGTGGTGACTGTATCCTATGCCCTGTGCTGTCTTTTAATTAATATGGGAGAATTTGTGCCTACTGTGTTCCCAGTATCTATGCAGATGGTGTCATTATTCCTCTTTTATCTTCTGTTCCAGGTGCTGGGGTTCCCCAGTTCCAACCGATCGCCCTAAATGGCCGAATTCAGGTCCTGAGCAATGGGTCTTTGTTGATCAAGCATGTTGTGGAAGAAGATAGCGGTTACTACCTCTGCAAGGTCAGCAATGACGTGGGCGCAGACGTCAGCAAGTCCATGTACCTCACGGTTAAAAGTAAGGAAGAAGAATCCTTCATTTTACCTAACTAGGTCTTTGGGGTTTAGGTTTTCAATGGTCTCCCTGTCCATCTGTTTCAAAAAACAAAATAGGGGTTTGCTGAATCTAAGGTTTGACTTCACATCGTCCTAGAAACACAATAGAAGAATGTGACCCAATCAAGCCAACCAGTTGTCATGAGCATGCGCTCTCATGTCCGAGATTTGGACCCATGAGCTCCCTTGGGTTCCCTGGGCTATTTGGCACGGGTTCTGAGCAACCTAACAGATAAGTATCTCTCTACCATTAGCATCTAGATTTGTAATCTATTGATTTTATTCTGGGGGAAATCAGTAGATGTTCTCAAGTATATTCCTTTCAAAGGCCTATGTTCGTACATATGATGACTCACAAGCTAGTATGTTCATAGATTTCCTCTTGGAGGTCATTATGAAACCTAGCAATCGAAACATCATTACTAAAACCAAACAACTACAAAAAGACTGAAACAGCCAGTACTACCTTAGGGTTTGTGTTGCTGACCCATGTTATAGGAAAGGGCATCTTATTATGAAATGGTTTTCATACTCTAATAACTAACCCTCCAGAAAGACGTTTCAGATGGACCAACTCCTACTGAGCAAGTTTTGATTCACATGTGGAGGTGCGCCTAATTCACAATGAACGAATTATGTTTCTCCCCCTTTACTTCATGTGCTGTTGGGGAAGCCTTGAATCCTTCCTGACTCCAGGCTTTGTTCAGGTTTCCGCTCTCTTATTTTAATTGTGATGTTGATTGATTGGAAAGGGCCTCTGTTTATCATTTATTAGAATGAGATCATTTAAAAGTGAATTTCAATGGTGTATGTGTGTGGGATAAAGATAGCACAGAGGGTAAGGCGTTTGCCTTGCACGTGGCCCACCCGGCCGACCCGAGTTCGATTCCTCTGCCCCTCTCAGAGAGCCTGGCAAGCTTCCAAGAGTATCTCGCCCGCACGGCAAAAGCCTGGCAAGCTACCCATGAGGTATTTGATATGCCAAACACAGTAACAACAAGTCTCACAATGGAGACGTTACTGTGTCCACTCGAGCAAATCAGTGAACAACGGGAGGACAGTGCTACAGGCAAAAATTAGTATCATCCTCTCTCATGAAAACTCTATCTAGTTAGGTCTATTATTTCCAAGGAACAATAAAAGTATTGAGTTATCTTTTTACTCACGGATATCATTGAAAAACTATTATTATGAAATAGGCTTAATCTAAAGCAAGTTTTTTGTATAACTAATAATTTGGGCTTCAATGTGTTCTACTTCAAAGTAGCTGATTTGGATAGAAATGAAAGCATGTATGCATAGCATAAATCCAAAGTAGAATTGAACACTTAAAAATGTATATAAATTGGGTCAGAACGAGTAGAGTGGATGAGGCACTTGCCTTGCATGTGGGTAACCTGGGTTTTATCCCTGACACTGCCAAGTGTGATCTCTGAGCTCAGACCCAGGAGTAAGCCCTGAGCAGAAAAACAGAAAACAAAAGACTAAGGAAAAATTTCCCCAAGTTCCACAAGGATCTCTCCTTAAATGCCATTGGCCAGACAGGAGGCTTGTTCACCTTTACAGCAAATTTTTGCTTTATTTTGGAAGTGGGTCATAGCCCACAGAGTTCAGAACTCATTTGTGAGCCCTGGCAGTGCTTTAAGTGCAAAAGGAACCATAAATGGTGCTGGGGCGGGGAGGTCACACCAGGTTCCTGCATGAGCAAGGCGGGTACCCAAGTCTTGGACTACCTCTCTGGTCCCTTAGACTAATTTTGTTCATAGGAAAGAGGTGCCTTGTCTGGTTCCTGCTCATGTCCCATGTCCCAGATTTACCTGAACAGGTGACTTAGTGCTTAGCTCTGGGTCACACAGATGTGCAAAGACACACCTAGAGAACAAATCTAGGGACAAGTCTAGAGAAATGATTATTTTCCGGGCTAGGACCAGGTGAGAATGTGAAATATCTGCTACTCAAAAAAGGTTCCGAAGTGACACCAACAAATGTATTTTAAAAAAAAAAAAAAGCACCCTAAATCAATGAAAATAAGACCAGCCCTAGAGTGGTCATCCAGGGAAGAAAGTCTGTCCCCCTCTGTGTGGTAGCCGTCACCCTCCCTTCCCTCGGAGGCTCTTGTTCAGGCTGGAGGGTGCTGTCCTTCCAGCCGCTTTTAGGTTCCGTAGTTCAGTTTCTTCCTCTCCCGTGGTCCCTGACCCGGACGTTGGGCTGGCTGTGCCCTCTTCCGTGGGGCACCCATATGCCTGCTGCCCACGGCCCCCAGTCTCCTCGGTGTCCCCGCCTGCCACACTGCCGCAGAAGCCCGCCTTTGCGCCCGCTGGCCCATTCAGGTGCATACTACGAGCGTCCCCTAGTGTCAGGAACTGTTCCTGCAGTGAGGGTTCTGGAAAGGAGCGCGGACACTTCCTTGGAGAATTGCTGAGATGCCCAGAGAAGGACCGCTGGGGCTGGGCACTGTCCTGGGGGAAGAGCGCCAAGGGAAGGAACAGCGAGTGCAGGGACTCCAGCAATAACTGGTTGAGGAGCAAGGAAACCATGTGTTTAGAGGGCAAGAAATGGAAGGAAGACAGAGCGCTGGCGAGGGCGAGACTGCCAGATGAGCCCTGTGTTCCTAGTGGCCGCCTCTGAGAGATGCACACACATCCTCTCGATCCAGTGCTCAGCCCAGGGCTCCTTTGCAGGGATAATCTGCCTCTCTTCCAGCTCAACAGAGTCCCTTTATGTTTATGAGGGAGGCCATCATGTCTTAGCTGGGATGCCAAGAGCATCAGCAAAATAAAGGGAAGAAAAAGAGGCGTCATCCAAAGTCTATAAAATTTAAAAGTTTGTGCATGAGGAAAATGAAAATACAACCTAGAGATATGGAGAAAACATCTCTAAATCAAATATCTGGCAGGGCACGTGTATGCACAACTCTTGCCTTTCAGTAATGAAGTCGTGGATAATCAAATCAAACTGGAACAAAGATTTTGAAAAGACATTTACGAAGAAAATAAGTGAAAGGCCAATTTGTATGTTCACAACCTTAGTCATTTGGGAAATGTAAATGAAAACTATGAGCCACTACATCTCACCCACTATCATGGCTACAACGAAGATAACAACAGAGGCAGTGAAGAGGTAGAACGGTTGGAACATCTAAAACTGGTGGAGGATGACTTGGGGAGCCCCAGCAGACCAAGGCTCAGTTCCTCCTAAAGTTGAAAGAGAAGGATAGACATAGAAGGACTGCACTCATTTGTGGAATATAAAATAACAGTGGTAGGGCATTTGCCTTGCACGCAGCCAACATGCAATCCGAGTTCGATTCCTCCACCCCTCTTGGAGAGCCTGGCAAGCTACTGAGAGTGTCGCTCCCACACGGCAAAGCCTGGCAAGCTACCCATGACATATTCGATATGTGAAACAAAGCTATGGCAAGGCAAATTTTTCCCAACCTTTCCACATCCAGCCTCCTCTCCTCTCCTCTTGTCTGAAACTTTATTGACTCTTAGTGTGTTGTTTCTTTTGTCTATTTCGTAAATGTATGGGAAGGGAATAGGAAATTTTGTGTCATTTGCAGAATTATTGTGGTAACCACTGTCATCTTGAAACCCTCACATCCAGAAATTTTTCATTGTATTTGCATTTTCTGATGTCTTCTAAAGTGTTGAGTCGGAGAGATAGTGCAGAGGTTAAGGCATATGCCTTGCATGCAGCCAACCCAGTTTCAATTCCTCATACTACATATGTCCCCAGGAGTCATTCCCAAGAACATAGGAATGATTCCTGAGCACTTCCAGATGTGGCCCAACACCTCCCACACACAAATAAAAAAAGAGAAAAAGTAAAATGTTGGGAGAGGTGTATATTTTTCTCTACTTGGCACAATAATATGCTATTATGCTATTTTCCCCAGAGTTTCAAATGCTGAATGCTCGTTTCAAGTAGTTATTTCAGTTTGACCTTTTATTTGTTGAGGATGAGTTCCTAATTTTCCTAAGTCTGTGTTATTGTGGGTCTGTTCTCTATTTCCAGAATTTTTGTAACATGAACTTCCTCTTGGTGGGGGGCGGGGAGGGTGGTCCGCAATGAGAAAGCTCACCAATGCACACAAATGGGTTTCAAAGGCGGGCACGTGCTCTCTCATTCACTGCAGAAATGGTCAGTGCGTCCTTCCATGTACCAGGCAGTCACTGAGCTGGCATTCCTTAGCACTCTCCTCCTATCAGTGAATGCCTGATGTCCAGAGTCACTAGCCACACACAGGGGTGAGACTGTGCGAAGGGGAACATACAGAACAGGGGATACTGCATCTCTCTAGCTGAGGCTGTTGGGAATGGCATGTCCTAGGCTTGCTCTCGTGTAATACATTTTTGGGAGAAAGGCGGAACAAGCCCAATCTGCCTCTGGATTAATTGCTGCTGACCCTCTCTCCTCCACATAGTTTGTTTACAGATGCTATGCATGAAACTAGCCTTGTTACAATTACTCCTTCATCCCCTCTTTCATTACTGTACAGTTAAGAAATTAAGGATAAATAAATTCACTACAAGAGTATTGCTATGTCTCTATGTCCCAGATCACTTTCCCAAAGAAACCAAGTCACTACACCCAGAATCCACCACTGCCCAGACCTCCTTCCTTAAAAGGCTTATTATTGATTATTGATTCTTGGGCCACACCCAGAGTTGCTAAAATATTACTCCCAGTTCAGTGCTCAGGAGACCATGCAGTGCCAGGGATGAAACCCTGCCCTTCCACATGCAAAGCATTTGCTACAGCCCACCAAACTATTTCCCCAACTCAAATTCTTAATTTTTAGCACTTAGAAAACCACTTGGTCCCTTGTCTTCCTTTCCTCTGTGACTTGTTTGCTCGGGTCCTTCCATGAGGAAATGTAGAGAGTCTTGCACAACCACCTTTCCCTTTGAGTTTCTGTGTTTTGGAGGTGGTAGAAATACCCGAGAATGTTAGCAATAG